CTAATTTGAAAAAAAAAGACATCTTTACAATATTGAGTCTTCCAATCATTTCATTATATATTTCTGTCTATTTAGATCTTTCATTTTCTCAATTTTTAAATTTTTGTGCAGCGTTTCAAGGTCATTTGTTAGATTTAGTCCTAGGTACTTGATTTTTAAAATACAATTATAAATAGGGGCGCCTGGGTGGCTCAGTCGGTTAAGCGGCTGCCTTCGGCTCAGGTCATGATCCCAGGGTCCTGGGATCGAGCCCGATGTCCGGCTCCCTGCTCAGCGGAGAGCCTGCTTCTCCCTCTCCCTCTGCCTGCCACTCTGCCTACTTGTGCTCTCTATCTCTCTGTCAAATAAATAAATAAAATCTTTAAAAAAAATACAATTATAAATAGTCCCTTTAACATTTCATTATCTGTTTGTTGCTGGCATTTAGAAATACAATTGATTTTGAATCCAGTAAACTAGTTAAATTTATTCTACACACATAGCCATCTCATTTGTGAATAATGAGTTTTGTGTCTCCCTTTTCAAGGTGTGTATTCTTTCATCTGTATTGCCTTAATGCAATACTTATGACATCCAGTACATTGTTAAATACAAGTGGTAGAAGTAGCAGCATCCCTTATCTCTGACTTAGTTTCTGTATTCTAAAGTTTTTCTATACTCCACCATCACGTATGATGTTTGGTATAGGTTTCCTGTAGTTACATTTTATCAGATTAAGAAAGTGTTGTTTTATTCCTAATTTGCCTATTCTTCTGTTTATCATGGATGCATGTTGGACTCTATCAACTACTTCTACATCTACTGATACGATCATATGATTTTTTTTCTTCTTTAATCTGTTAATGGGGTAAATGGCATTGGTTGAATTTCCTAATGTTAAACCAACCTCAGAACAATGTTTTTCAACTTGACTGATCATCAGAACCACACAAAAAGTCATTTTAAAATGTTTAAAATTTCAGTTGTGGCTGGGTGGCTCAGTCAGTTAGGCATCACCTTTGGCTCAGGTCATGATCTCAGGGTCCTGGGATCAAGCCCTGCATCGGGCTCCTTGCTCAGTGGGGAGCCTGCTTCTCCCTCTCCCTCTGCCCCTCCCCCCATGCATGCTCTCTCTCAAATTTAAAAAAATCTTTCAAAAAAAGTTTAACTCGTGGCAGATATTTAAGAAGTCTGTGAATATAGAGACTAATAGAACACCTGTGTCTTTATTTTTTCTTTTTGTTTCATATTTTAATAAAATGAAAGAAGTAAAACAATACAGGTAAAGTTGATGTCCCCTTTCTTCCTGTCTACAATTTTGTTCCCTTCTCTAAGGAGATTCCCCCATCTCAGTAATTTGCATATTTATTTTTTTAGGCTTAATTACTTCTAAAAAGTTGGTAGTATGCGCACATGGTTCACAATTCAAAAGTAACAAAAGTAAAATCCCTCCACTTCTGCTTCCAGCTACTGATTTCCCCTTCCTAGAGGCAACCATAGTGCTGATTTTTATGTGTCCTTTTAGAGATATCCAACATATATGTAAATGTAGATGTGTCCTTAGTCTTTTTCCTCCTGCACCCAGTAGTAACCTGCTCTTCAGACTGTTCTCATTCAACTGCATCCATTTAACTAGATGCATTGGAGATAGTTCAATTTCAGTGCAAAGAGTTCAACCTTGCATAGTGTCCTATTATATTGATATATGGTATTTTATGTGGCTGGTCTCCTATTGATGGCTATGCATTCATGAAGTTTCTACTCTTTTGCTATTACAAACGATGCTGCAATGAATAATCTCATGTATTTTGTAAACATGTTAAGTGGGATTGCTACTATAAAATTCTGATAATGCCAAATAGTCTCCACAAGTGTTTACTAATTTCTGTTCTTACTAAAAATATAAGTGTCAGTTTCACCCACATTCTTGTCAATACAACATTTTCAAATGTTTTGATCTTTATCACTCTAAAAGTTAAAAAATTCTATCTCATTGTAGTTTTATTTCACATTTAGTTTATTAAGAGTGAGATTGAGGGGCACCTGGGTGGCTGAGTCAGTTGAGCTTTGCACTGTGGGTCTGACTCTTGGTTTCAGCTCAGGTCATGATCTCAGGGTGGTGGGAGGGAGCCCACCTTGCCCCTCCTCCTGCTTGCACTCTCTCTCTCTAAAATAAATGAATAAAATCTTGAGGAAAAAAAAAAGAATGGGGGGCTCCTGGGCGGCTCAGTTGGTTAAACAGCTGCCTTCCACTCAGGTCATGATCCCGGGATCCTGGGATCAAGCCCCACATCAGGCACCCTGATTGATGGGCAGCCTGATTCTCCCTCTCCACTGCTTGTGCTCTCTCTCAAATATGTAAATAAAATCTTAAAAAAAAGAATGAGATTGAATGTCTCTTTATGTGTTTAAAGGCCATTTGAGTTTGAGCTTTGTCTTTTGCCCATTTTTCTATAGGATTATGAATTTATTACTGATGTGGAAGAGCTTCATGCACATAAGGAAATTAGCTCCTTACCTGTGATATGTATCCGAAATATATTTTCTCAGTGTGTTGCTTTTCTTATGATTTTGTTTTTTACTCTACTGATTTTATTTTTCTGAAGTCTTTTAAAATCTTTTATAGCTTCTGAGTTTTGTGTCATACTTCAAAAAGCCTTCTCTATTTCAAGATTTTAAAAACCATTTCCCATCTTTTCCTCTGGTACTTTAATTTTTGAAACTCATGTAGTCATTCTGATTCATCTGGAATTTATTTTTATGTAAGAAATGGGGTGAGGATCCAAATTATTTTTCCCTAGACAGTTCTTCAGTTGTCTTTTAAGATTTCTTTAATAATCTCTTTTCCTTGGGGAGTTTATTTTTCAGGTACAAAAGAGTATTTAAAATGAGGGGGAAAAAGCAACAAAATTCCACATTTTTAGAAGTTGATTACTGCAAATATCACAAAATGCTGAAAAATAACACAATATTTTTATTAATCAACTGCTTGCTGCTCCTCGAGAATACATTTTACTCCAGTGAGATCCCCCATTTTAAATATATTGTTCAGTAAACATCCAGGAACATTCACTTTTTCTTTGTTGTACAGTTCTATGACTTTAGACAAACACGTATGTAAACAGCCGCTACACTCAAGATAATGACAATCCCATCAGACCCAAATAGTCCCTCGTGCTGCCCTTTTGTAGGCAAATTCTCCTCCTACCCAACTCCTGGTAACCACTGCTGTGTTCTCCATCCATACCCACTTGGTCAGAATTTCTCAGAGTGGGTTTCTCCATCTAGAATGATAAGGGTCCCCAGGTGATTCTGATTTGAATCAGGTCTGGGAACAGTTAACCGAGGACATTGCTGCTGCTGCTTTTCTTTTCTTTTTTTTTTTTAAGATTTTATTTATTTTATTTGCCAGGGAGAGAGAGAGAGAGAGACAGGGAGAGCACAAGTAGGGGAAGCAGCAGGCAGAGGGAAAGGGAGAAGCAGGCTCCCTGCTGAGCAGGGAGCCTGATGCAGGGCTCGATCCCAGGACTCTGCGATCATGACCTGAACCGAAGGCAGATGCCTAACCGACTGAACCACCCAGGTGTCCCAGGACACTGCTTCTTGAAAGGAACTTGCTCTGTGCCCCAGGAATAGGCTCTGTGGTAGTGGGAGCTGTGAGTGAGCAGAGATCTCAGATGAGTAATAACAGCTAATATTTCCTGAGTGCCTACTATCTGACAGGTACCATGCTAAACAGATTCAGTGCATTATCTAACTCTTCACAACATTTGCACGACGTAAATCTATTATCCCCATTTCACAGATGAGGAACCTGAGGCTAGAGATAAATTTGCCCAAGATCACACAGCTGGGAAACGGTAGAGCCAAGGCTTGGACCCAGGGAGGCTAAATGCAGTTTCCATGCCCCGTGTCCCTCTGCTGTATTGCCTCCCTCCCAAAAAGAGCAGGTACCTGCCCTCACCACCCACAGCCTGGCAGTGTGGCAGTCACCCAATTTGGTCTCGAGTCCTTAGAAGCTTCTCCTAACACAACTTCTTGTGTGGGCAACAGGTGTTCCCTAAGCAGGGATGACTCGGGAGGGGCAAAGGGGAGCAGAATGCTGAGTGCACCCAGCCACTGGGGAGCAGGGTAGAGGCCTGGGTTGGGCCAGGGGTGCTGGGAGATCTCTACCTGTTTCTGCCTTGCTGACAACATGTTTCCTCCCTCTGCACTGGACAGAGCCTCCTCTGTTTCTCTCCATCTGATTTCCTGTTTCCTCCTCTGGCTCTGGAGTACCTGACTCCCCTGACTACCTCTTCTTAAGCTCCCACCTGTTCTCTGTTTCACCTCAGCTTGGTAAGAGGAACAAGGATCCTGGGGTCTGGGTGAGGGGCAACATCTGGTTCTGGTGCACGGGCTCCGCGTGGGGTGGGTCCCACCACCTCCCTTTCCCCTGGAAAGGGAAAGAGACCTGTAGGAGGTTTTAAGAATGCCCTTGAAAAGATAAAAGGCAAGTCAACTTGGGGTTCTCAGCCAGAGGCACTAATACCCCCTAGCAGGGCATTTGGAAATGGAGGCTGCCTTTTAAAAACTTAAATTCAATTACAATATACATACAGAAAAGTGCATGGGTCACAGGCTCGCTCTTCATAAGGTGAACACACACACACGCAAGCACTACCAGATCAAGAAATGGAACATTACCAGCCTCCCAGAAGCCCCCCTTCAGGCCTTCCAGTCACCAAGCCTGGAGTAAGGGCGGGAGGAGCGGGGGGCATTTTTTGGTTGTCATAATGACTTAGGGGTTCTGCTGGCAATTAGTGGGAAGAGTCTAGGGAGGCTAAATGTGCTGCACTCTCTTGGACAGTCCCGCAGCACAAAGAATCATCCTGCCCAAATGCCCTGTTGAGAAACACTGTGCCTGAGAGCTCTAGCACCACGGCAGAGAGACTTGCCTTAGGCCTGGGAACAGCTGTGACTGTGGGTCAGCGTGAGGAGGGGTTTCACCGCCATGCATCCACACTGTTGCCTCCCTGCAGGCCTCCGGAACGCCCCCCGCTGCTGGGCAGTGATCCAGCCCCTGCTGTGCGCTGTGTACATGCCCAAATGCGAGAATGACCGGGTGGAGCTGCCCAGCCGCACCCTCTGCCAGGCTACCCGAGGGCCCTGTGCCATCGTGGAGAGGGAGCGCGGCTGGCCCGACTTCCTGCGCTGCACCCCTGACCACTTCCCCGAGGGCTGCCCGGTGAGTGCTTTGAGGGGCAAGCCCCAAGCCTAGGGCAGGGCCCCCACAGGAGGCAGGGGCAAGGGGAGCCCCACAGCCTTCTCTTGTGCAAGACCCCAAAATCTGCTGCCATGGGGGTCAATGAGCCACACACCCAAACCGACACTCACTGGCTGGGCCTGTCTATTAGGGATTATCTGTTTATTTATAAAAGATAACTGTGTTCAACAAATAGTTTTTGAGCACCTACTCTACTAGGTATTGGGGGGTTTCGGGCATCATGGACGACAGGAACTCCTTCTCCAAGAAGTTTATCGTGTATTTAGGGAATCAAGGCACGTAAAACAGCTAGAGATACCAAGACGGGGGTGATCTCATTCTGGTGGTAAAGGAGAGCTCATAAGTAATAATAATAATTAACAGCAATGATATTGGTAATAATCCTAGTCGTTACTCTTCACTACCTGCCAAATACCCTATGAGCACTTTACATCTATTGATTCATTTAACCCTTACACCACACCATGAAGTAGCAACTGCTATCTCATAGCTGGGGAAACTGAGGGAACAGAGGTCAAAGAATGTGCCCCAGGCTATTGATATCATTTGTCACTGAGCGGCCGGGCTGGGATTCAAAAGCCGGAAGGCTGTCCCCAGCCTGTGCTTTCTGTCTTCGGCACTCCGCCACGCTACCCCCAGGCCTTGTATTCGACCCTGGGCGTCCTGCTCCCTTTTGCACTGCCTTCTCCCCTTCCCTTGTGCCAGAATGAGGTGCAGAACATCAAGTTCAACAGTTCGGGCCAGTGTGAGGCTCCCTTGGTTCGGACCGACAACCCCAAGAGCTGGTATGAGGACGTGGAGGGCTGTGGGATCCAGTGCCAGAACCCGCTGTTCACTGAGGCCGAGCACCAGGACATGCACAGCTACATCGCGGCCTTCGGGGCAGTCACGGGCCTCTGCACGCTCTTCACCCTGGTCAGCGGAGGGCCGACCTGCGGGTGGAGGGGGGCCCGGGGAGACATGGGAAGGAAGTGGATTGTCAGTCGGCTGGCTATGGGGGCAGAGGGAAGTGGGGAGGGGATGACCTGGTCGGGTCCCTGGGGGAAGGGTCTGGCTACGAGGGGCCCCGGGGGTCAGACAAGGGCACCTGTGGCGGCAGCATCACCCTGACCTCATAGAACGGCCCTCGCTTCTCCCTTCCAGGCCACATTTGTGGCTGACTGGCGGAACTCGAATCGCTACCCTGCTGTCATTCTCTTCTACGTTAATGCGTGTTTCTTTGTGGGGAGCATTGGCTGGCTGGCCCAGTTCATGGACGGAGCCCGCCGGGAGATCGTCTGCCGTGCAGATGGCACCATGAGGCTTGGGGAGCCCACGTAGGTGTCTTGGGGACCCAGAGGTGAGGGTGAGGGGCAGAAGGCTGAAATGTGTGTTTCCCACAGAAGGGACAGGGTGGGCTTGAAAGTGAGATTTCAGTGGAGGATTCAGCTCTGCTTGTGGTGCCCCGAGATTCCCGCGTGAGGGCTGTGATTGCTTGCATCTGCTCCAAGGGGCATCTTCCACACCCTCTTCGAATCTCACCTGGGTCCTCTCTCCAAGCCCTGACTCCTAGCGAACCTCCAGACCTTAGAAGCCACGGGTCTGGGGACAGGGTGGAGAGAGCTGATGAAGGGAGTACAGAATGACCTCCCCAAGTGACCCCTCACGTGTCCGCACAGCTCCAATGAGACCCTGTCCTGTGTCATCATCTTTGTCATCGTGTACTACGCCCTGATGGCCGGTGTCGTCTGGTTTGTGGTCCTCACCTATGCCTGGCACACCTCCTTCAAAGCCCTGGGCACCACCTACCAGCCTCTCTCTGGCAAGACCTCCTACTTCCACCTGCTCACGTGGTCACTCCCCTTTGTCCTCACCGTGGCAATCCTTGCCGTGGCCCAGGTATGATGACTGGTAGGGGGCTGGGGACCTAAGCGTAAGGGGGCCGGTGACCCACTCTGTCCCTCCCACCCACCCCTTCCTGCCGCAGGTGGATGGGGACTCCGTGAGCGGCATCTGTTTTGTGGGCTACAAGAACTACCGGTACCGGGCGGGCTTCGTCCTGGCCCCGATTGGCCTGGTGCTCATTGTGGGAGGTTACTTCCTCATCCGAGGTGAGTGAGCGCCGGGCCAGCACCAGCCGGGCAACGAAATGTGGGGAGCACCTGCTCTGTGGAAGTAGGAGCGGGGAGCTGCCGGCTCTCCCAGGGCCTCGGTGCTGAGTGCCAGGTGCCCCCTCGAGGCAGACAGAGTATCACGGCACTTGGTGTGGGGTAGCACCCTTGGTGCTGGCCAGAGAAATGCAGCCTCTTTCTCCGGGGCCTTGGGCCAGGGCTCACAGCCTGTTGAACAGATCCTCAGCTGGGGTCCAGCCTCTGTCCAGCCCTGGGCCAGCAGCGCTCACGTGGTGTATAGCCTGCCCTGTCCCCGTGGATCAGCACGGGGCCTCCGGTCGTGTGTGTGCACCCTGAATTTCTGTCTGCTCTCCATCTCTTGGAGCCTGGCTTCTCCTCCGCTTCTTACCCACAACAGTTTCCAAAACATGCACAGATTTGCTGTTCCCTCATTTCCCATCTGAAGCCGCCTCCTCCACAGTAAGCCTCCGTCTCTTCTTAGCTCATTCTTGTTGCATTCTCTTTGTAAACTTCAGCTTCCTCCCCCAGTGCTGTCAGCCTTCTGTTCAGCCCACCTCTTGTTGGCAGTCTCTGGGCCTCTGATTTATGTTTTGTATCTGTGCTGTCCTGTACGGTAGCCACCAGCCACATGTGTTGAAACTCATCCAGACTGAGATGTGCCCTAAGTATAAAATCTGCGCTGTATTGCACATGCTTAGCACAAAGAAAGCAGACTATCTCCTTAATAGTTTGTTATATGGATTCCATGCTGAAATGTCAATTAAATAAACAATGACATATTGTTTATGAAATGTATGGAAATTAGCTTCACTTGCATCTTTTTACTTTTTTAATGTGGCTGCCAGAAGATTTGAGATTATGTATGTGGCTGACGTTATATTTCTGTTGGATAGCACTGTTCTTGCGTCTCTTCTGTGCCTTTTCCATCTGCACAGCTTTGACCTGGCTGCCTTCCTTAGGGGCGGCTGGAGCCAGGACCAAGGCACCTTCTCTCTCTTCGTGTTTGTCTGTTCTGGGCTCTGCCCTGGGCTTGCCAGCGTACAGCACGTCTGCCACAAACGGTGCTCCCTTTCTCCAGTGTCTCCAGTTCCCCGAGCTTCAAATCATCGGAGTAATCAGACTGGGGACTCCCTGCCACACCCATCCCTCGTGGGAGAGTGGCCTCGCCCCACTAATGTCTGCAGTCTCTCTTCTGTTCAGGAGTCATGACTCTGTTTTCCATCAAGAGCAACCATCCGGGGCTGCTGAGCGAGAAGGCTGCCAGCAAGATCAATGAGACCATGCTGCGCCTGGGTGAGTGGACCCCAGGCTTTTGGCCAGTCCAACACTGTACCCTCCTGGGGCTGTGGGACCTGCAGGATAAGGTCTGGGAGGATGCAGTGTCAGTGGTGCAAGTTAGCAGCCGGGGGGGCCAGACAAGGCTTTGGGGCGCACGCACGTGTGTGTGTGTGTGCGCGCGCCCGCGTATTACCTGTTGATGGCGGTAGCAGCTCAAAAGAAGGGGACCTTTTTGGACAGAAGAATGCAAGTTTATGCCAAGGCTGCTTCCTCACGCCCACTAATCCACAGTTGGCTCAAGTGCCCTTCGGGCCTTATTTTGGAGAATACAGCAAACTGAGACTGGCATGGATTCACCCCAGACTCAGCTATCTTTTAGGCCTGAGTGGGGCAAATACCTTGTCCCCGCTGCTGCTCCCACCCCTGGGATTCGTAATGCTCTGTCCCACCCTGGCCTTCCCCAGGCATTTTTGGCTTCCTGGCCTTTGGCTTCGTGCTCATCACCTTCAGCTGCCATTTCTACGACTTCTTCAACCAGGCTGAGTGGGAGCGCAGCTTCCGGGACTATGTGCTGTGAGTGCGGGGCTGGGGGCTGGGGGGCAGCCGCCCTAGGAGCTGGAGCCAGGACTGAGATGTGCCCTAAGTATAAAATTCTTGCCCCTCAGCAAGGGTCTGCCAGGTCCCTGCCTCCGATGGCAGGTGAAACTGCCCATCTTGCTCCGGGCGCCCGAGATGTCATTTGCTCTGTAATTTGCAAACCCAGCAGACAGCTCTCCCACCCCGGCTCAACTCTGCCCTCCTCTCTGCACGAGCCGCCCTCTGGCTGGTGTGTTTGTAATGTTAAAGCCCTCTCGTGTGTGGGCTTCTCTGACGACCCTGTGTTGGCTGCTCTAATTCTCATGTACTCTCCCAGAGCTTATTAGAGAGCCCTGCGCAGAAGTAGTCTCTAGGATAGGTTAACAACCTGTTAATACTTGCTAGCTTTGTCTGTGCCTTTTTGTGTCACCATGAGGATGAATCTGGGAGTAAGGCAGCTCACCCGCTGAAACACTTGCTGATGGCAGGAACAGCAGTTACAGGGCTCATTAAAATGGACACCAGTCCATGTCCTGACTGTCTCCAGCTCTTCCTTAAAGGCTCCAGCTTCCAGTCTTTAAACCACACTGATGCCGGGTCCTCCCCCAGAGATTTGATTTAATTGTCTGGGGTGTGACCCAGACACTAGTAGTTATTAAAAGTAACTCTAATGTCCCAAGTGACTCTAACGAGCACCCAGGGTTGTGAATCATTGTGTGGGGCTTAGCTCTTTTTGGAGTCTTTGGATTGATTGTCTGGGTACCACTCAAGAGACCCAGAAAGCCTCACCTGTCTGCTACCCCACCCCCACCCCCGCCATAGGTGCCAAGCCAATGTGACCATCGGGCTGCCTACCAAGAAGCCCATCCCCGACTGTGAAATCAAGAATCGCCCTAGCCTCCTGGTGGAGAAGATCAACCTGTTTGCTATGTTTGGAACGGGCATTGCCATGAGCACCTGGGTCTGGACCAAGGCCACGCTGCTCATCTGGAGGCGCACCTGGTGCAGGTGGGTCAGCAGCCAGCTGATTCTGACCTTGTGGCCTTACTCTCTCAGGCTTGGTGTCCCTACCAATAGGTGTTGTGGGCTCCATCGTCTCCCAGCAGTCTTGGGCAGGCTAGTTTTCTAAGGGTCTGCGCTGAGCTGCCTAAGGCCGCCTTCTATGTGGCTCACCACTGCCCCCTGGTGACACCTCCTGTCCTTGGGAGGATGTGTCAAGTGCGGAGCCATCCTCTAAGAGTGGAATGATCTGAATGATTTGAGTATTGGGCATACAGGAGCCCTGAATTCTAGGCCCACTTCTTTGCAGAGGTCTCTATTCCTCAGAGTCCTCGAGGGACTTGGGGCCCTCTGGAGGCTGCTTCCCTGGAGGGAATGGCTTCACTGGTCTTTCCGAAGATTTGGTGGGAAGTAGCTGCTCCTCCACTTCCCCTCCCCCACCTCTTCTGCTCTCAGGTTGACTGGGCAGAGTGATGATGAGCCCAAACGCATCAAGAAGAGCAAAATGATTGCCAAGGCCTTCTCCAAGCGGCGTGAGCTGCTGCAGAACCCAGGCCAGGAACTCTCCTTCAGCATGCACACTGTCTCCCACGATGGGCCTGTGGGTGAGCTTCGGGCCCCTTTCCTCCACGGGAGCCACTCAACACCCACAGTCCCTGGACCCCACCCCCCTAGGCTGCTGTGGACACCTGGACTGTCCAGAAGGCTGGGAGGAATAAAGCACCCCAGCCTCCCCTCACACACTCCAGTCTCTCCAGTCCCCCTCCCATCCCTGGCTACTCTGCCCTCTGTTTCTGCCCCTGGGTCGGCTTGCTGGTACCTTGGTTTCCAAAGGACTCATCTCCCTGTCCCTTCTTCTGTCTTCTCCAGTTGCTCTCCCTGGGCTAGAGTAAGTGAGGGTTCTAGGAACTGGACTTCTGGCCTCTAGTGAGGCCCCACTCTTCAGACTGGGACTGGGTAGATCGCTATGATTACCTGGGTGGGCTTTCTGGGCTCAGTGGATGGAGAGGGAGCTGCTGGGAGAAGGTAAATGTGCTGGGTTAGGGAGGAGCCATCATCCAAGGTAGTCATGATTCCTTAGCCTTGCCTTCCATCCTCACAGCGGGTTTGGCCTTTGATCTCAATGAGCCCTCCGCCGACGTGTCCTCTGCCTGGGCCCAGCATGTCACAAAGATGGTGGCTCGGAGAGGAGCCATACTGCCCCAGGATGTGTCTGTCACCCCTGTGGCAACCCCAGGTATGAGGGGTCAGGCCTCTGTAGGAGGGTGGGGAGCATGGGGATGGGGGTTCTTGGGACTGGAGCACCAGCAGCTGCCAGAGGGGAGGAGGAAGGAAAGGCCCTGGAGGGTCTAGAGTGTGGGGCTTGAGGCACTAGAGACCTAGAGTTGTGGGTCATAGAGCTCAAAAATAGGGGTCCAAGGAGAGACCAGGTGATGTGGACAGAGCCAGCCTCCCAAGCTTACGTTCTCTCTCCTGCTGTCAGTGCCCCCGGAGGAAAAAGCCAACCTGTGGCTGGTTGAGGCAGAGATCTCCCCAGAGCTGGAGAAGCGCCTGGGCCGGAAGAAGAAGCGGAGGAAGAGGAAGAAGGAGGTGTGCCCCCTGGTGCCACCCCCTGAGCTTCACCACCCTGCCCCAGCCCCTGCAGCCAGTGCTGTTCCTCGCCTGCCTCAGCTGCCCCGGCAGAAGTGCTTGGTGGCCGCAGGTGCCTGGGGAGCTGGGGAATCCTGCCGACAGAGAGCCTGGACCCTGGTCTCCAACCCTTTCTGCCCAGAGCCCGGTCCCTTGCAGGATCCATTTCTGCCCAGTGCCCCAGTTCCCACGGCCTGGGCTCAGGGCTGCCGGCAGGGGCTGGGGCCCATTCACTCCCGCACCAACCTGATGGAGGCAGAGCTAATGGACGCAGATTCAGACTTCTGAGCCTGGAAAGCGGGACCTGGGCTAGGAAAGAGGAGCAAAGACCATTCTGAGGTTCCTCATCCTCCCTGAGAGTGCTTCCCTGGGATCTTGTCTTCCGGAGAACCTGAGGGTGCAGTGCCCTCCTGGGAGGGCTCTTTATGTCTGGCTCATGGCAGCGGGACTGTGGGAAAGGGCCCTGACATCTCCACGGGTAGGCCTCATCCAGGGAAGGGCCCTGGAGCTCGGGGTCCTTGTTTCTGCCCCACCAGCTGGAATCTGGCTGGCAGTATCCATCTGCAGCAGGGTCATGGGATAGGCAGAGCTTGAGGGGGGACAGTAACGGTAGAGGCGGGGGTGACAGTACCCAGAGTGGGCTGTGGTTGCCAATGAGGCAGTCAAAGCCCGGGCCTGGCAGATGAGGGCTGGCTGCCCTTTTCTGGCTCTCTCAGACCAAATGTGTTTATTGGGTCACTAGCCCTTTGTCTAAGTGGGGACAGGGCTCCCTTTTCCTTCTTCCAGATGGTTGTGGAGCTGGAAGTGCCCATTCTCATAGGGGCTATAACCTCTCTTCACAGGCATCCAGTTGGCCCGACCCCAGACCAGTAACCCATCCTGTGCGCTCCTGCAGCCTCCTTCCCCCTTTCCCATTTCAGTTCAACCAGGCCAACCTCCTCCTGTGTCCCGTTTGTTGATTAGGCCCCAGAACTGCTGCAGTAGGAACTCCCCCTCCCCTTTGATGCTGGGCTCCATCTCCAGGTGAGAGATGGGTTCAGCTATGGAGCTTGGCGTGGTGTAGAAACAGTGAGTGACAGGGAGCCTCTGGGCCCCTGAGAGACATGTGTTCTCTCTTTCTCCCATCCATCCAGTGGGGGATGGACCCTCTGACTTGAGGGGCTACCCTGGGAGGCTGCTGGAGCTTCAGCCGGGCAGGAAAGCTACCCTTCAACTGCCACAACTGGGGAGTGAGGAGATTCCCACCTCTCATAACCCCTAACTCTGTCCCCGAGGCCCCAATTTCAAGAACCAGAAAGCAGGAAGCCTTAGGAGCTGGCTGGGTTCCAGATTGGGGAAGGGATGCGGAGAAGGAATACAAGCAGTAAATAAAAGGTTTTTGTATAAACTCTTGATGTGCTTCTTTTTCACGGGCCCTGGCCTTGGGAGGGGTGCCTGACTGGCTCAGTCAGGAGAGCATGTGACTCTTCATCTCGGGGTCGAGAGTCTGAGCCCCATGTTGGCCATAGAGATCTTAATAAAGTAAAGTAAAATAAAATCCATAGGCCCTGGTCTTGACCTGTTTACTTGGTCCTCACCGTGTTTGTTTCCCACTTCCTCCTCAGGCTATTCTGAAAGGCCAGCCGCTTGGTACTATTGAGGTCACGACCGACAGATGTCAGGCTGATGTCAGCTTAATGTGCTGGCTGGCCTTCCTGGCCAGTCAGCTCCATAGGGACAGAAACTCTTCTGTGGCCATAGCTGCCTCACTGTGCGCTGCCCATAAGGTGACTGAGCAAGAACATGCCGCTTGCCTCTGCAGGGACGATCGGAAGCAAGGGGCCCCCCGTCTAGTGTAGGTGAGCATGGCTCCGGTGGCAATCCTGGGCCCCACCTCTGGGGGCCTCTTCCTTCTAAAAGGGATGTCAGGAGGACAATGCTTTCTGATCCATAGCTGGGCAGTCAAAGGAATTCAGACTTCCCCAAGGAAAGCCTGTTAGCCCCACTTCCTCCAAAAAGATGTCAGTAGAAGATTGGGAAGTGGGTTGCAAGGACTCAGGATCATGTGGAAAGGATCTGTGGAGGAAAGGGGGTGATAGCCACAGACTGGGAAGGTATTGTGGAGTACTGACCGGGTTTGTTTATGTGATGGGGACATAAGCATTTTGCCCAGAACTAGATTCCAGGTTCCCTGGAACTAACATACTGAGCTGATCATATTCTAAGTACATTACACACAAATGATTATAATCACAGCTAGCTTGCTAGGCTCTTTTCTAAGCACTGCACATACATTAATTCACTGAATCTCACCACAGATCTGTGAGGCACAGAGAGGTTTGATAGTTCACCCGGGCCACACAGTAAGTGGTCATGCTGGGGTTCTCCCAGGTTATCTGGCTTCAGAGTGGGCTCTTGGCCACTGTGTTTGACTGCTTCTGGTTTAATTCAGAGGGATCAGAGGAGCTAGTTTTTTGAAGAAATAAGTTCAGCGAAGCAAAAGGACTTACGCACAACCTCACAGCTCGTACATGACAGACCCCGGGGCCCAGGGTCTTCCTAACTACCAAGTCCAGACTCTCCAGTCTCAGCTCTGACTCTGGATTTTTCCTCCCCTCCAGGTTTCCTGGGCTGGGTTCCCTCTGGCCTCCCTGCACCCCTCAGTGCCATTTGTGCCTCTCTCAGCAGGGATATAGCTATTTTTAACCTTTATCAACAAGAGTATTCAAAACAGTAAAATGTATCAGTGTGGTCTAATGATCTTTTCTGAAATAAGGGAAAATGTTAACAATTTTCTTTCTTTTCACCTTTGTGGACATTCCCTCCATCCCTTCTTTCTTTAATGGGAAACACTTACATAAAGGATGAGGAATGGGACCGCAGGGGGAGTTGACTGTGGGCTTTATTTTTTTTTAAAGGTTTTATTTCTTTATTTATTTGACAGAGACACATCGAGAGAGGGAACACAAGCAGGGGGAGTGGGAGAGGGAGAAACAGGCTTCCCGCGGAGCAGGGAGCCCGATGCCAATGCCGGGCTTGATCCCAGGACCCCGGGATCATGACCTGAGCCGAAGGCAGATGCTTAATGACTGAGCCACCCAGGTGCCCTAGACTGTGGGCTTTAAAAGCTCAGAAACGTTGCCTTTCTACCTCTGGTCGTGGAGGCTGACAGAGAGTCTATAACCACGAGAGGGCACTGTGAGCCCACTTTTTGTGAATGCTTACGTTAGGCGGCAGAGAGAGGTCCAGGACCGTGACATTCCCGCAACCAAGAGATCTTGCAGTGTTTTGTTTTGTTTTTTTACAGGAGCACCAGCTCTCATGACTGAGTCACAGTGGTCACTTTTCTACCAAAGCTCCTGAGCTAGATCCCTGGAAGGGCTACCTCGGGGTCCAAAAGGAGCTTGGTTTGGGGGGCTCCCTGTGGCCTGGCTTTTGCCCTGAGAAAACAGAGGTCTCTGAGCATTCAGCGCTGGGGCAGCTCCTCCCTCATCTGCTCCTTTGGGTCCCTTGCCACTCTCAGCCTCGTCATCCATCTTCCTAGGTTGGGAGGCCTGCCTCTGTTGGTCCCAACTTCTTTTAAGCAGTCTGGCCACCGCCCCATCCCTTCCTCTGCCTGTGGGAGTTTCATTTGTTTTTCTTTAACCTAAGAAATTGAAAAGCTATAGAAAAGCATAAAGAACAACCTAATAAACACCCAATTCCCACTACTCAGAATTAACTCTTTTTTTTAATCTTTTTGCCATATTTGCTTTCAGCTTTTTTTTTTTAAAAGAAATAAAGTATAACAGATTTAGCTAAAGTCCCCTGTGACCAATATCCCTGGTTCTTTTTTCCTCCCAATTTCCCTCTTTGGCAGAAAAACAACTCTTTGAGTTTGGTGGGTTGCCTTCCAGCCCATTATTATACTTTCGTATATGCATATGCAGTTATGTATCCATAAACTGTTTATGTATTGCTTCTGCCTGCCCTTAAACTTTTTCTTTTCATCTAAGTTGCACAGGATAGAGTATGAAAAGTCAAATCATTCTATAGGTCTTGTTGATTAACACAGATGTTTTGGGACCTGACTCCTACCAGATACCCCATCATTTCCTGTTCTTGGGAGTCAACCAGTTTATTTTAGACGATTTTTATATTTACTTCCATATGTCTGAACAATATGATACTAGCTCTTGAATGTTCATTTTAGGTGTTATCATTTGACTTTTCAATACAAGGGATCAGGATTTAGCTGTCTTTCAATCTTTGCCTCCCGGGAAAACAGAGGAGCGGGGAAAGGAGTCAATAGTAACAGCTTCCAAAGCTGGAGAGTAAATGATGAATGATTATTTAGCAGATTTGAAAGAGCAAAGTTTTAGCCAGCAATAGAGAAAACTTACATTGCAGCATCCCCAGAAGGCTCTGAATTAGAGGTAGTGGGTACTTCAGAAGACAGAAATGAAAACAGGAGGACTAGTCCCTGATCTCCTATCTAACTCTGAGCAGTCAGATGACTGCCCTTCTCACACCTGGCTGACTGTCCGATCATTCTCTAGGGAAGGCAAACAGGGTATTCGAAGGAATTATCTTCTGGCTTCCAGAACTAATTTTAACAAGTTCAATATCTTTCTGACTCTTGAGCTTTTGTAAAATTTTTATTCCTTGACCCACTCCAGACATTTAAAGATCGTCTCTTTGTCCCCAGAATTTTGAAATTTTACAATGATGTATATTAATGTAGGTCTATTTTCATCTGTTGGGCTGGGTACCTAATGACCCCTTTCATTGTGGAAATTCTCATCTTTCAGTTTTGGGAAATTTAAAAAAGTATTTCTTTGATTCACATCCCCCTCCACACACACACTCCATTTTCTCTGTCACCTCATTTTAGCACTCCTATTATTCAGATGTTGGACTTATTGGACTGGTCCTCTAATTCATTTTATTTGCTTGTTTGTTTTTGAGTAATCTGTACACTCAAAGTGAGGCTTGAACTCATGACCCCAAGATCAAGAGTCACACGCTTTTCTGACTGAGCCAGCCAGGAGCCTCTTCTTTTTTTAGTTGAAAGAAAAAACTTATTGAAGATCTGAAAAACAATTCCTAAAAGACCAACTTTTCCCCAAAACTGTAGCTAGACAATGCATTCCATCTTTCATGTTAAAACATGCATTAGACACAAATTTAAAAACCATGAAACAAGCCACCATTCTTCAACAATCTGAGTAAAGAGAAAATGCATCTTTCCTGGTTTTAATTTCTTTCTCTTTTTATTTATTGAGTTTTTAAAAATGTCTGCTACATGCTTTTATTTTAAAAGTCTCATGTTTGTTTTCTGACTGTTCACTTCTTAAAATAGCATGTTCTTTCACAAATATAATATCTTAAGTCTCTGAGGATATTAATGATTTTTTTTTGTTTGTTTTGGTCTTGATTTCTTCTTGATGCATAGTCTCTGTTTCCTCTAAGTTTTTTATTTTTTTCTCCTTGCTTGTGTTGATCTCTGTCTTTTGTATTAAAGGTTTTCTTCATATATCTGAGGACTGTCTATCCGCTCATACTTAAGAGTGTGACATTAAATTGTTCTTCGGAAACAGTGAACATGGGTGGGGTCTTCACCAAGGGTGATCTGGCTGGCCCATTTCCTTGGGAGAACTCTCAATAATGATTATCTTCAAGTTTTTTCTCTTGGGTTGGTCAGATACCTCAAAAGTTCTTCCAATTTCCCACAGGGAACATACATTCCTGCTTGCCAGGGTGTGGCAGCTGAATAAGTAGGGAAGAACTGTTATCTAAATATTTCATAATCTGCCTGCGTGGCTACTCCATTCACAAGGGCCGGACGACAGCTCAGTTGGCAGTGAGTGGCCTACGGCATTTGCTTATAGTTGTGATGTTTGTCCCTCAATCCCAAACCTTTCCTGAATGGATTAACAGGAAAGGCAGGGGTGCCTGGGTGGCTCAGTTG